CCCCCCACTCTCCCAGGAGATTGAGCTGGATTCGCTTATACCCTTTCTACCCATCTTTTTTCCCACTGTCGCTACAGACATTCCGCATCCCTCCCCCACTTCCCTGCACTTCACATCGAACGGTCTACTTATCAGCACTCCCTCTCTCCCCCACCTCCTGTCCTCACCCAAAGCACCACCACGTCAGCCACCACTCGTGCTGAGCAACAGCGCTCAGGGATAAAACTGCCTGACCAACTGAAATACACTGGTTGACCGTAAGTAGGTTACTCCACGATAAGTAGCGGCAGGCCACAAGGGGAAGTGGGTGCGGCGGAAGGGGAGGATGGTGAGCTGCGAGTTCCGTTCGAAGCAGGGGAGGGGAGCTGGAACAGGTGGATTTAATGGCCACATGGCGTAGATCCTTTATCGGTTGGCTAGATTACGTGCATTTGGAGGGCGAGAGGACGCGAGAGGGAAGAGGGAGAGGTAATGGGTGGAAAGGAAGAGGAACTGTGCTGCTGGTTTTTGCCGCGGATACTCGGGGTAGGGAAAAGGCTGAAATATTGCTTGTTTCCAGGTCGCTGTTACTGCGGGGACAGAGAAGCGCTCAGTGATTGTTTCGCAAGCAGGATTTGGAGGCCGGGTAGAGAAGGGGGACGAGAATACAAGTCCGAAGCTCGAGGCATGAACTGGAGACAGCAGTACAGTGTATGGCCCCAGCAGTTGCTTCCGGGCGAGCAGCGAGATGTGCCAATGATTGCTTGAGATGGTTGCGCAGATAAGCTGAGAGGACACAAGGAAGCACTTGCTGCCAGAACAAACGTTCTTCCACTGCTGTGCAGTAGGGCGAGGACATGATGCGCTTGGACTGTCCTTTGTTAAAAAGTAATAAATGGCCAACGTACGGGCTGCCCGTGCGAAGATGCGTTTTTTGCAGAGTCCCCCGCAATTTTTTGTCGCTACCGGCATCGGTTTTTCGGCAGATGCTTCTAGCTGAAAGAATTTCAGGCTGGCCGCCAGAACTGTCAGGAAACATCCCCTCAAAATTCCAATCTTCTAGCTTCTCACGTTCTCGAGTAATTAACTAACCCGGAAGGAACTTTTCACGGGACTGTACGTGGGTACCACGCTTACCCGCGGGCAGGGTTTGAACTCGTTAATACCCACTTGGACAGGGAACACCCCCTAAAATTTCAGCTCTCTAACTTCACAGAACCCCGAGTTATGAATTTGCGCGGGAAAAATTTTGGGGCGCT